TTATTGAAAACAGATGAACAGCGATTGGACCATTTCTGACCCCAAATTTAGTCGGCATCGGCTGATTGGCTACGGCTTGTCTTCACAACAGATGAAAGGTATAAAAGCCGAGTGCAGAGCCAATCAAGACTTGCCTCGTTGCAAAAAGTGGGACATCTTTCCTCTGTGCAATAAGAAGATGCTGCTCACAGTCTTGTTGCTAGGTATGTTGGCTTGCATGGCAACCTTTTCGAAGTGTTAGTCAAACAGCCATTTTATTCTAGTTTCATCTTTGACGTTCCTGATTGCTGCTGCGTTTTCCAACGATTTACCACCTTTTCTCCAGTTCACCGTCGAAATGGACCTGTCGTCAATTTCTTTCGATTCTCACTGCCCGAAACAAATGTACCTTGCGTATCTCTTCCTTATCGCCCTGAAAAACGAAAGAAATATGACCGTGGTCGGCTACGAAAATTACAAGATTAAGTTCATCGGTTTTCAGCATATGTAATAATTTTTAATTTCTGCTTGCATGCGGTGGAAATTTTACTTTAAATTTCTTACAGCATTTTTATGGAAAATAGAACTTTTAATATAGACTTATTTCTGGTTTAGAACAGTTGGGTTGTTTATATGTTTATATTTTTATGGACAAATCATGAACGATAAATTTGTCCCCGTCATCAGGTCAGTCAAATCATAGGTTAAGTGTCATTTTATTAAAAATGGATGTCATGATTCCGGTTCGAAGAGACATTTTGTCTGTGAGATTACCAGGGGGAGTGTTGTTTCTTACCATATTGATTTCAGGTCGTTCAACACGTAATGAGAGAATCAAATCTGGGTTGAAAAATATATAGTCAACAACTGGTATGCAGAAAGCAAACACGTAGCTGATAGATCGTTTCTAAAGAAGCGATCCACGTATCAGTATGGAGCATCGCGATACTTCGAAATTATCAACAGCGGTTCTAACTCCTTGTCTGCTCAGGACGGAAAACGACTGCTTAATTACTTCGTCTCTGACTCTATGTGGAAACAAATAAGTGAAAGAAACAGTCTGATTCTAGCCACTTAAAATATTGCTTATTGAATGACTGATTCGTAAAAATGGATATCCATCCACAGCTTCGAAGCACAATCATGCAGATTAATGCCGTAATTCGATTAAACATTCCAGCAATTGAAACAACTTGTATCCAATGGGATAGCCAGGGGGAACTGAGACATACAGTGCTGGAATTGAAAAGAAACTAACTGAATAAATAAAATGAATAGAATGAGAAAACAGAATAGTCATTATGGTCAATCAGGGTGGCAATGGCAATCGATATGAAATTCCTGTTAAGTGATCCTTTTACCTTTGATGTTTAGACTGTTCCGTAATTTGTAGACCTCTTATAGTATTTAATATTTTATTCTCATCATTTCCGCTGTCTGATTCTTATGAATATTCGCTATGCGTTAAATCGGACACACTGGTGGCAGAGTGCCCAAGAAATGACCCGCTTCCCTAAGTCAAGGTTCTCTTCATGTTCTCTTCGCCGATTGCACTCGCATATTTCATAAACAACAACTTTATCATAAATTTTTCTGCGGTGCGTTATCATCAATGTTATCCTAACAGTTGTTGCCTTGATTGTTCCTCTGCATAATTCATTTCCATGCCCATGACTGGCTATGAAAAGAAGCCAGTCATCCTCCTTCAAAGAAAAATTGTGTTATCAAGCTCACGAGATCCACGTGATAAAAAGTTGCCTGAACCTTGCATCCGTAACATTTCGTAGTGTTTCGAAATCGACCAACGAATTTGTTTTTCACCTGATACGATCCTTGCTATAAAATATACAGAAGTTACGAATCGCCAAATTCTATCGACATGGTACATACCGTCATAAACTCGTTTTTTCATCGTTAACAGAGCGTTTAATGGCTTATCGTTGGTCAGTCGTAATCCCTGCTTTATATGATATCATTTCTCGCAGTCGCCAAAACGAAAAACATGATTTATTTCGTTAAGGCAGCTGTAACACTGGCTATATACAAAGGATTTTTTGCCATAGTATAGAGATGGCGTAAAAGCACATGATGTTCAAGGACAATTTCGCACACCAAATCTACATCTGTGAGCAATATGTCATTTATTCATCGTCCGATAATACTACTAAGCCTGTTTTCCATTTATGAAGTAGCAGAAAAACATAATTTCTATACTGAAGAAGCGACGTTATTGTCTGGAAGTTAACGATATCGTTTAACCTACACCAATGTCACTAAATGAATACTTTAATGCATTCTGGGTAAAGTTTATGCATTTTCAGTGCCTCTGCACTGCTTTTACTTGTTCTTGGTAAAATCGTTTTTCTTTTTAAACCATTCAGGCTTAAGTATGGTCCGTACCCTACAATACATGGTAATTTTTGTTTGTCGTTTTTCAAATTGGCGCTGATTTTCGGACGTTCACTTATTGCTAAGGCCATATAATCCGTTTGTGTTAGCATCAGAAGACTATAGTTACTCGTTTACATCAAACATTCTGTTCTCTACCTGAATTGGGAATGATATTCTTCTTTGACTTTTCGAAGGTGTTATTTACTCCATTTAGCAATAGCGTGCTTTCAAAGTTTAGCAGGAACGGATGGTGCCTCATTCAACAGCAGTCACTTGCATCCGTCCTTTTTAAGTGGCAACATTTACATTAATATAGAAGTGTATATTGCAGTCTGAGTTTATGCCTGAATATGTTGTTATTTGACCCAAAACATCAGTCCTATTTTAATACCTGAACAAAAGGGTGCCATTATACTGCGGAGAAGTGGCATTTTGGAAATGACTTCAATGCTTTAGGAACAAAATAAACGTATAACTAACGATCTTTGAATTTGGAGATTGTGTAGCTAACATACATAGTTACTTTAGCAACGGTACAAAACAAAAGCAGACTTTACTTCTAAAACGAATATTTTTTAAAAGCAATTAAATTGCAACCAATTACATATGATGCAACCAGGCTGAACGCGTTATATTGTTTACTTCACTTTTCATGCCTTGGATTATTATGCACCACAATATTTATAAATACATGTTAATTGACTATTTTAAACATCTACCTTTCTGTAAAAGGCACCGAGGTTCAAAAGATATCATGCTGATTACCGTGACACCGGACATCGAATTCACTGAAAGCAATGAACATGGCTTGTTTCAACAACAGTGCGAACGCTTACACAACGAAACTGCGTTTGTGAAAATAACATCATTACGTACGTTCTTCTGTGATCTGATATATTCCTTGAATTTGCTTTTGTAGAACGAGCTTGTTTCCCGCAGAATTACTTCCTTAATGGTCAAGGAATCATCAGGACTTCTATTCAAGGTCCAAGCGACTCAAACTTGACCCAAACATGCAGAAAACAGTTTATATCGCAACCCGGCGTTCAAACTGATCTTTATTTCGAATTTGAGTCAAATCCCTGCAAGGATCCCAATTACGAGTGCACAGTACACGCAGGCAGCACAACGTACAAGCAATGTAATCCTGCCCATAATGAAATGTGGCTAACAAGAAAAGCTATACGCATAAGAGGTCCATTTACCGTCATTACAACAATGAAATCGAGCAGTCGTACGACAACATTGACCGCAAAATACAGTAAGATTGTTTAAAGTGAATTTATTAAAAATTTTCCTCCGCCGGCATTTGAACAAATGTATGTGCCGTCTCTATAAACATGTTACCATGGGTTGTAAGAATTATGGTTGAGTGAATGACAAAACATGTTTTAAAATGGAAGAATATAAATTTGAAATGTTGTACCAAATATTACATGGCCCGTATTGTTTTGCGTCGCATTAATCCTGATCAAACAGTTTTAACCGACTCCCTTACTCCTTTACACAGAATTTGCGCTTACGATAG